ACTGTTAAAAACAACCGTACGGTAAAAAAAAACATGCATTTTTTTTTGTACAATTAATTTAAAAACAAACTTACGGTAAAACAACCATGCATAAAGAAAAAAACAACCTTAGGGTGAAACAACCATACCGTATAAACAACCGTACAGTTAAACAACCATGCAGTAAAAAAAACAAGTGTACATCACTGTTAGAAACGTCCGTTCAGTACAACCGTGCAGTTTAAAACAACCGTACGGTAAAACAACCATGCGATTAAAGTTACAATACTGTTAAAAACAACTGTACGGTAAAACAGCCATGCAGTAAAAAACAAACAAAAAAATACAAGTGTTAGAAACATCCGTTCTGTACACCATGCAGTATAAAACAACCATACGGTAAAACAACCATGTGTTAAAAAAGTTACAATACTGTTAAAAACAACCGTACGGTTAAAAAAAACATGCATTAATTTTTTTTGTACAATTCATTTAAAAACAACCATACGGTAAAACAACCATGCATAAAAAAAAAAAAAAACCTTAGGGTGAAACAACCATACCGTATAAACAACCGTACAGTTAAACAAACATGCAGTAAAAAAAACAGTGTACATCACTGTTAGAAACGTCCGTTCAGTACAACCATGCAGTTTAAAACAACCGTACAGCAAAACAACCATGCAGTAAAAAAAACTGTTAGAAATATCCGTTCAGTACAACTATGCAGTATAAAACAACCGTACGGTAAAACAACCATGCGTTAAAAATCAATTGTACAATACTGTTAAAATCAACCATACGTTAAAACAAATGTGCATTTAAAGAAACAACTTTACAATTCCGTTAAAAAGCCCAGAACGGCAAAAAAAACGTGGTAAAAACAACCGTACGGTTAAAAAAAAACATGCATTTTTTGTTGTTGGTACAATTCATTTAAAAACAACCGTACGGTAAAACAACCATGCATAAAGAAAAAACAACCTTAGGGTGAAACAACCATACCGTATAAACAACCGTACAGTTAAACAACCATGCAGTAAAAAAACAAGTGTACATCACTGTTAGAAACATCCGTTCAGTACAACCACACAGTTTAAAACAACCGTACGGTAAAACAACCATGCGATTAAAAAAACAACTGTACAATACTGTAGTGAACTAGGCCTGAGGTCAAATCCTGACCTTAAGGACCTTATGGGACAGAAACTGTCATTTCATTGATTTGAATCCAGAAATACAGGTTGACCCATCCTGAGACTTTCTTACTTGAATTGATCAAGTGAAAGAACGTTGGTTACGTACTGTAACCCCAGATTCTATGAATATAGGCGTAGCCCTTTAAGGCTGTCGCTGATGGTTTATCCCGTTATGCGCAGCATAAGCACTGAAAAAAATTAGTCCACGCCCACCTGCTGTGTGGGCCCCACCCGGTCCGTATAAATTACGTTAAGAGCGGGAAATCGGCTCCCAAAATAGCTTTTTTCTTCAGCCATTTAGGAGCCAGTGAGGCCCGACGCTTAAAGGGCTACGCCTATATTCATAGAATCTGGGGTTACAGTACGTAACCAACGTTCTATTTCATATAGGCTTCGCCCTTTAAGGCTGTCGCTGATGGTTTAAGGGCGAAGCGGATGTGGTCCTCGCCTCACTGGGTCCATTCGAACACAGTAAGAAGCGGAAGCTTGCCCAAAAAACGTCTTGTCACTCAGCTCCCCGTGTGCATAAACTACGCATCGCGTAATTATGTGCCATGCACAGACGCATGTTGTGTAACTATGCGTTCTGACAAACATGAATACCCCGGAAAAACTTTCAACATGAAGAAGAAGTTGAAAAGAGGGGGGGGGGGGCATGAAACCAACTGGTTCATGGCTGAACAGTATAAACAGATTAATGTCCATGAATTGATCAATAATCAAATGAACTGATTGTTAACAATAATCATGAACTGATTAGTGACAATAGAACCAAAATCACAGACACGACTGTGACTGAAAACAACATCTCACACTGTAATGCATGCAGACAGAAGTGAACTTAAACAGAGTTCCATGAGAACAACAATATTCATTCTGTTAGGGCACTAAGGACAGAATGTGTCATGGAACGAGCCGTTACATCACGTAGGTAAAAGCGAATAAATGAGCAGGGTGTTGACCATGCAGCCGCAGTGCAAATGTCCTGCATTGACATACCATTATGCAGAGCAGTCGAAGATGCGATACCCCTGGTCGAGTGTGCTTAGAGGTTGACAGGAGGCCCTAAATCTGATGCTCTGTAGGCTTCAGAAAAAGGCCTCACACAGCCAGTGTGACAAGCGCTGGATGGATAACGGCGACCTGCAGAAGCATCTCTATAATGCACAAACAATTGTTGAATTTGAACGCATTGCAGCTGTGCGCGTTACGTAACACGTCAACGCCTGCACCGGGCAGAGAAGATGAACAGATGCTTCCCCTTCTGATCTGTGGGGGGGAAAAGACCCCTCCAACGACATCACTCTTGATTTAAAAGAGCTCGTGATGTTTTAGGCATAAAAGCTGGGTTGGTCTTAAAACAGCTGAGCTGCCCGTCAGCCTAATTCTAAGGCATGACGAAACAACAGAGAGGGCAGATAATTACTTACCCTCTTAGCGGGTGTTAAAACCAGCAGCAGG